GATGTAAACAAATTTTCACGTTCCATCGAGAAATTTACAGCTAAAAACCTCAAAATCTTCGCGATAACGATATTTTTGCATAATTTTAAACAGCTAAAAACACACTAATACCTCAGAGGATCAATAAATCTACAAAAAAAAAACTTCAAAAAAAATGCTTACCACCTGCAGGATGATGTTGTGCGTAGAGGGCAGACGGGACGCTACTTGGCCCTTTCTGCTGTAGCGGTGAGGCTTGTTGTGCGCCAATCCCGGGCCCTACGGAAGATGGCTGTGAAAGGGTACTAGTCTGTTGCGGGGAACTGTAATTGGGGAGGCTGCTTGTCACATCTTGTGTTTGAAACTGGACATTCTGTGGTGCTGCCGATACACCTCCACCAGCTGCTGTCATATAATGACTGGGCATACGTCTAAAAAAAACAAACCAAAAAAAAGTTATTGCAAAATTGAATGAAAAAAAATTCCGAAAAAAAAGGTAAAATTATCAAAATTTTCGGAAAAATTATTCAAAAAAAATTTCTCACTATATAATTAAGATAATTATCTTAATTATATAAAAAGAATAAAGTAAATTATGAAATAAAATTGAGATAATTGAGATAATTATAAAATAACTATCTTATTTTATTAAAAAAATTCTTACCATTATAATAATTAGGGTAATTAAGATAATTATCTTATTTAAAAAATGATAAAATGGATTACAAAATAAAATCGAGATAATTAGATAATTATAAAATAAGTATTTTAATAATTTTATCAAAATAATTTTACTACTTTTACTAATTTCTATTAATTTCTTAATTCTTATTTCAAAATTTTCTCTTCCATCCTCCTTCTTATTTCAAAAATACCTTTCTTTCACCACAATCTTCATTACAAAAGGGGGGCCCCGTGTACGTAGTGCAGATTTTTGTGCCTATAAGTTTTACGGACCCAAAATTTGTCAACGTTGCTACGTATACCTCATGGGAATCAACAGTTCATATCAGCAAGTTACACGATCTTTCCAGTCTCAAACTCGGCAATTTGCCATGGTCTGGATGTGGGGTAACGGACTAGGTGCGTTGGAATACAATTCCGGAAGCTTCAAGCATAAAACGAAAAGACACTGCGCCGTTTTTGCCGGGGTTAAGCTTGGGTGGTTTGAATCAACTAATAAGTGTTGTAGAAATTTTAAAGATACACTACACTCACACTCACACACACACACGCACACACACATACTAAGCCTCATCTAAATTATCTTTGTTGCTCGTCATACTGATGAGGTCGAATTGTAGTAACGATAAGAAATGTATACGATTTAATGGATCGAAATATTCCTTACCAATTACAAATATTTCAATACTCCCCTTCCCCTCTTTCACTTCGTTCTCCCTCTTTTCTTTTCCTTTTTCCTCATTTTCTACTTTAGCTTTAAAAAAAATACAAACAATGAATATCCCTGGCTAGGAGACTGGAAGAAGACGGTGACCAGAAACCTTCCATGTGTTAACATATGCAGTTTGTTTGGCGTTGCTGGCCCACCCGCCGTGGAGAGGAACACAGTCGAATTTTGATAATTAATGAAAACACAGGAAGTAGTGCCGCTTAGATCTCCCAAATAAGCAAGCCTGTATGTACACAGTGACTTGGTAGCTTGTCCTGTGTTTCATCCCTGAGCTGTAAACACAGATGGCCGAATCGTTGCGAAATAACTCGAGAGATTTCGTAGCCTCCTTATAATTTACATAGAATTACTACCCGTCTCATATGTTAGTCTCCTCCTCATCCATCTGCTCCATCACTTTTATTACTTTCATGCTATTACCCTTTCTCTCCTTCTCTTTCACTTATCCTTCTTGCAAATTAGTTATATGTCTTTTCAATACATGGCGGGTAGCAAGAGGCTGTACTGATGATTCCCACTCCTACCCGCATGCACTGTTCGGTCTGTGTATACAGCTTGAATACCTTGAACAGCTGTTGTTTAATCGATCTCTGATGTCACGCCATCGATGCAGCTGGCAACTTCTCCAGTTCGATCGATCCTGAGCCTGACGAGACCAGGTGACACCATAAAGACGCACGATTGGATCTCGCCAT